GATTTCCAGACAAGGTGCATTCAGTGGCTTCTATGGCTCAGATTTAATGTCAAATGCTTGTAGAAATCGTCAGTTTTTCCGAGGACGGTACACGCCATGTGCGAGGTGAATGTATCCGCAGCTGGCTGCAATAGCTGCCAGTGTCCCCGCTCAAAAGACACGGGAACGAGGCTGTAGGGTGGTGACGTCCGAAAGCGTTTCCATACTCCTCCCGCGCTTTGGCATGCCCAGCTACACAACTAACCATAGCCAAACGCGTTACTTGTCTACGCCCCCTCACTTTTGTTTGTTTCCTACCGCTAAATACGTGTTTCGCTGCGAGACTTGCCATCAACGACAGTGCTGCACTTTGAAGAAAGTGCGGGCGGAGTAAGTATGGAGAAGGCACTGTGGAGCTTTCAAAACAACAATACTTTAGAAACAATGAAATCTTGATTTTTTTTTCTGAAATCGCCATACCTCTTCTCCAACTACGCTGATGCAGCCCTTTTCTTCCGGCCAAATACGAAACTAGCCGGGCGGTCACTTCATGCCTATGAATCGTTCTAGTCGCTATTTGAAATAGAACTGGAAGCACAAGTTAGTAGTCATGAAAAACCTCATAACTGTCTCTTATATAAGCGTTTTCCGCACGCGATATAACTGCAGAGGACCACTTAAAACTTTAAAGTCGTTCCAAAAAAATCTATCTCAAAAAAATGTAAATCACCGTTTATAGTTCTAAAGTCTGAGCGAGTTATCCGCAGAAGTCTCGTGGAATATCTTATTTGCAGAAATTTGATTTTTGTTCACAATTTCACCTTTCATTCAACTTTCACTGATGATAACGGCTAATGGCGGAAGCAGTCACACGCATGACATCTTTTATTACAAAACTCTTCGCCATTTAGTCGCAACTATGGAGATCATTGTATTCGCCGCGGATGGACATTACGTGGCACGCGTTGCTGGCGGGTTTTCTTCCCGTGGGTGATAATACAGTGCGCGCACGTACGTGTATGAAGACCTTGGGCTTCGGCTTCATGGGGGCAACGAATACTGTTCAGTTAAGACCTGTAAACGACTGGAACAAAGAAACTCACCCGCACCTTTGCAGGAGTTCACAACTTTGCCCAGAGTGAGAGTGAAGGGCGAAACGCCCCTCCTCCTGCGCAAAGCAGAAAAAATGAAGGTGACTAGCCAATGCCCGATACCTACTCGATATCCTCCAGCCTATGTCTCGTAAGGTGAAATAAGCAGCGTAAAAAGGGAACGCTTCGCTAATCTGGACGAAATCGGAATATTGTGCGGGAAGCAGCGCCTCTATCCGTACTGTGCACCATCAAAAATCCTCATCGATTTTTGAAGTTGGTGTGTATTTTTTATCAGTCGGTGCTTACTGGGTCGAACCGTAAGAAATAGCGTTTTACCACACATCAAAGTCTGTGGATGAAAAGGGACTTTTCTCTGGAGTGTTCATCGTTCGATAGATATTTTTCTGCCTACAAGAAACAATGCGCTTTTTTTACTTCTCGATTATTGTCAATTTTTAATTAATCAAATCGAAGCGACGGCTCGGCACAATTTACACTTTCAAGACATCTTCCTGCACCTTATCTAGAGGCTTAAATTGCAGAAGCAGCTCAAAATTTGTGGTTTCACGACTAAGAAATGATGCTTCTCGGGACGAGTTGAAGTGGGTTCGAGCGATAAAGTGATGGGGATTTTTATCTTGTAAATGTGTACCTCATGCGAGGCCCTCTTGGTGATCGACTCGTGCACAACTTTTGAACCTCTCCCATCAACTGAGAGGGTTTCTCAATGGTGGTGTGGGATTCCATGACCTCTGCCTTTTCCTCATTCTTTGACATGGGTTTCCTTGGAAAAACTGATTCAGCATACTTTCAGTCGACTCAATCGAGCATCAAGTCTTATGTTTTTCTGCGAGGTAGAAATGGAAATCTTTCGAACTTCTCGTGCCTCTCAAAAACCATCGCTACTTGGGCATATATTCAAGAAATGGGCCTCTGCAGTTCCGGCTTTCTAACTGAGTAGAAAAAGGAGGGGTGTCGTAAATGCTCTATTCATTCGAATTGATATTTCATTTTACACACTTGAAGACCTGTGAAAATAGAATCTTCGAAGAAAAAATCAAGGTCCTATATGGCAGAAAATTCTCTACCAAACAGTGTTTAAGTAATCATAAAAACCTTTCAACTTAACGCGAAATTTGGAGTTAGGAAAAAACGCCTCCTATGGACCGACCCGATAGAATGCTTCTGTTTCAACTCAGCTCATTGCCTGTCAACTTAATTGTGTTCCCTTCCGTTATCACTTCATCACTCGTACCGTGAACTGTAGATAATTACGCATGTGCTCTTATCACTTTGCTGCATTTCGTCATTCAACCAAAGATGCGAGATCGCTTTGTCGAGAGCGAATCTTTGGAATGTTTTGAAAAACAATAGATTGTTGAGCTGTTAAGGGAACCTACAGTGTATTCGTCATCATTCCCTTACCAACCCTCCTGGCCGTGATATCTCATATTTCAGGGCCCGTTCACGGCTCACGGCTTGGTACTTAGCTGGATTGTCCCGAAGGCATGTGATGCAAATGTTTGATAGGTGTAGCGACTCCCTTCTTTGTACATCGACCCGTTACGCAGCTAGATAGTGACGGAAGAGGCGTCACAAGTCGAAAAAATGTTGCCCGCCGAAGCTGATTCACACGTTCTGTGGACCGAGCATATAGCCACAGCAGTGCACACCTATACTTACGCACAGATAATGGACACGCCTTGCTCTCTTCTCTATGAAAGCCGATCTTTGGTCGACCTCGTTCGTTTTTTCTCTCTCTCTCCCACTGTTCGTTTTAGTGCCCTCGCATAACTTACTTAAAAAAACTCTTCCAGGCTTGGAAATCTCATTTTGGGGTCTTTCATATTGGACCACAAAGCCTACAAAGAACTGTAATTGCAGTCTGCTATCTAAACATGCATGTAGCAGCTCAGTTAAAGCAGCCTGGTACACCCTACCTTCTCACGCGCAACTTACAAGATCTGTAAACCGGGAAGAACACTGCTTACGATACTATTGATTTTGTTCTGCCGCGTTCACGAAGACTTCTAAACGGCGAAGAAAAGTACCAGGTAGAACGAAACTGTACGGTCCCCCCCCCTCCAAGCAGGGTACAGCATCGTTATGTGGAACACATAGGAGGGGTCGTACTTTTTCTCTGGGGAGGGGGGTCGTATTTGGTCGTTGGGAGAGAGGGGGGTCGTATGTGCCTTTGAGAGAAATTTGTCGCGTTGGTTTTCCGGTTGTTGACTTTTTGCGTGATTTTTCCTGTTTCATGTGTACTATATACCCCCCCCCCCCGCTCGACGGAAAATTTTTGGGTGAAAAACTGGAAAATGGGGAAATTTGTAGGAATTTGTAGCTCGGTGTTGAGGAAGGTGGGGGGTCGTACCTACAGCAGCACCTCACACATCACGATGATGTACCCTTCTACGGGACCTGGTCCTTGCCCCGTGCAAGGTGATGGGTCCGCCGCTGCAACGGTGCTGGAAAGCAGTGATACTCTGGTGTGTATCCAGACTCTACCCGCGCGAGCGTAATCGTGATCAAGCGCATTACTTGTCTGCGCCCTCTCGATACTGTCTCTCTTCAACTTCCGATTGCGTGCTCGCTCCGGGCTTTTTAGTGCTGACACCAGTACTGCGCCTTGAGAATAGCGCAGTTGAGCGCTGTTCGGTTTGGGAGGAGCATTCCGCACTTTCGCTGATTGCTTTTGCTAGTTCCAGTAGATTATACATCACGTCTTGGTGAGACTTGTAGATTCCTGTCCACTGTAAACAAAGCTACTGCTAGTGCATTGCTTTTCAGGAGCTATCAGGTCTCCGCAGGAGGCAGCGGCAGTAATCGACAGAAACCAGCAAAAGTCCTCATCAGAACCATTCGCGCCCGTAGGCGGAGTTAAGAAACTGCACGCGGCTGTCACCCCCTCCAGCTCACATAGTGATCGTTGAGGGATTGTTACCTTATATGGACCCATCTGTAATGGTATACTTGCTGTCACAGACGCGCATACTCAATACTATACTAACAAGTACATATGTTGATGGACGGGCCATTATACCACGAGTACGTGTGAGGAGGAGGTGGTAGTGAATGTAGTGAAGTGGCAAGTGGCACACTTACCACGCGAGAAGGCTCGCTGGCAAATCTCGGATTGGTTCCCGCCCAGTTCAGCCAAACCACCTGTTCCCGAGGACGTAAAGTTGGCCCCGGGCATTATCAGACATTGATAATGCATATGGGCTGGCTCCCGGGTCATTGTGTGAGCCACATCGCATTCAATAAGCCACTGCGATTGTGAATGGCAGTAGAATGCTTACCGCATCCCACACAGGAACTGATGAGTGGCAAATACTTTATCCTTTACCCTTTCATTGTTCGCCTTAAGGATGCATGGGAATGAGTCCCCCACGACTTGCCTGAAAAGGGAGAAAGTGGATTCCCGCGGGACAACGAAAATCCACTCCCCACTCCAGCAATCAGTGGGGACTCATTCCCCACGACTAGCGCCGCGCCAAGTTCAGCTTCACCCCCCCCTGACAAGCCCCAGCATTCGCAATGAACTGTTTGGCAGTCATCGAAGTTTCCACCCTATGAATCGTGTGCCTATAAAGTGCCACATGAAACAACGCACAGTTTACGTGGAATGCCTACCAACGAACGGCTTGTTCAATCATTCCAGTCATGATTGTCATATCAAATCATCAATAACTGATACGCACCTGTGTCCTTGGGAAGTTTTCACTTGGACGGTTTCCATGGTTTCCCTTCGTTCTTATTTCAACGGATTCTCGTGGGTCGCTCTAAAATTTCACTCAAAATTCTGTAACATAGATTTTGTTACATAAAAATCTTTATCTATTATCTTTATGCAATACCAGTTCGTTGAAAAAAAATCTATTGCTGTGAAATCGGTTTACTAATTGTGGGCAGCTCTGCGACGGGGTGAGGGGTAGGGGATGCGTTTCGCCCCTCTGCTACTTCCCATCAACTTGTGGAGCCATCTAGAGAACTATTACATGAGCTTAAGAGTTGACAGGTTAGCACAGTAGCTCGACGAGCTTGCTCCAGCCCCACAGTTTACAGGTTTCAAAAGTGTGACATTTGTGTACCGAAACCAGAGAAGCTGTGGAAGTGCAAAATGACCCCCCGTCGCCGAACTGCGCCGCCACTTGATATGTTTTCCATTGCATCTGCTGGGGCTTCTTTAACTTTATAGAATACATTATGCCATTCTCATACAAGGTTCCTCACCCTGAAAAAAAAAACTCGTGCAGGTGCTGTCTGTGGTCCTCCACAGAACTGTACTACTCCCTTTCAAGGTATTTTGTGAATATGTACCGGAGGAACAGGTAGTAGTAGATGATGCCACGTCTGTTCTATGCGTTAATCGCGAAAAGCAGCCCTAACAAGCTCTAATAAATTTTTCTGGGTGGTCAGAGTTGAGGTTACATATCGCAGTCACGTTTTACAAAACGGTTGTTTTACTGAGTGCGTTCGGAATCAGCAAAGATAGTACAACAAAAGCATGGTGTTTTGCAGATTTTGATCAATACAGAGCAGTTAACAGAAAGATCCACGGCGAACGGCGAGCGATGAAGGCGGCAGTACTCGCCAATAGCGTTTTGGAGCGGCAGCATGTGGAAAGACTGCATTTGTAAGTACCTCTCTGAGCATCATTTGAAAGCCTTCTGTGGTCATAACTTTTTGTTACATTTCGCCGCTTTAACAAACAATTAATAGTGTAATCACCATTGTGACCAGGGCACGCCATCGCGTTGTGATCATTCCTGAAAAATACGACTACCCCTGGATTTCCATCGCCCGAATACGACCCCCCTCCCTCATGCTACGCTACCTACAACTGATTCTTCTCAACTTCCTACCACTTTTCCATTTTACCCGAAAAATTTCCCAATTTTCGCAAAGCATTGTTCCGTGAAAAGGAGGGACGGGGGGGTCTGGGATGGGGGAGGTCGTCGGGATTAACTATTATTTCCGACTATCGGAAATAGTAGTTGTATACATCTTTGGCAGTCCCCCTCCCAACAACGAAAGAGAAATCAACTATCAAAAAATTTTTTCTCAGACCAAATACGACCCTCCTCCCTCGCGGTCAAATACGACCCCTCCCGTTGTGATCATCACAACGATAGCGTGCCCTGATTGTGACCAGTGGTATGCAGCCACTTGCTAGGGCAGTAGATATATTTCTCTCAGAATGAGTGAGACTGATGGTTGCAGGTAATAGAAGGGCCATTTTGTAGATGGTTGCATTACTTGAAGGCAGTTGGCACGATTAATCCCTAAGACGAGTAGTATTAACATGCCTGCCAGGACGGAATTCCAGCAGGCGCTGCGTAGCGCCTTTTCCAAGGAAGGTACCCTTATAAGGGCCCTATCAAGCTACAACATACCGACCCGCCCGCCCACAAATGGACGACCGTACCTGATGCTCGTATTGCTTCATTTGCTAAGTAAAATATGAAGCGAAGGGATTGGTATGAAGCGGCTGCGGTGCTGCATGGATATATGAGTACATACGTGCAGCCGTACCTACCGTAGCGGTTATTGGCAAGATGCCTACGGGAAACTCGTCCGAAATTGCTTTTGAGTCATTAAGAACGAAGGCTTTTCTTCGCAGGTTTTTGACCGTTTCACATTGTTTTTTTCGATTTTTCGCTTTCCCACTAAAGCGCCCTGCTAGCATTTTAGGCAGTGTACCAAATTACCGTGCCAACTGCCTTTAAGTCAGGAAGTAGCCGGAGATCTCTCTACAGCTGGTACAGGCGCTCTAATGGGATATGGTTGGATGATCCATGTGATTTCCTCTGAGCCAATATGAAAGGCGTCTCCATTCTCTCCAGTAACGAAATAAAGTTAGGGAGTTTTAATTCCCACCTGCAGCATTGCAGTATGAGTTGACTTGGCAAATCGAGTTGATGTGCAGTGCCTTCTCCTTGTTGAGAGTATAGGTCCTGGTGCGGATGCTGCGTACGTCACGCCAATTTCAAGGCCTTTTTCGCTGTGACTGGGAAATAACGCTTAACACTCACGATATACACTGTGCTAAGCCCCTATGAAGTGCTGACCTTTTCGACCGTCCGCGCTTGCACTGACTGGTCCACTATTCATACTTATCTGGTGAAATTAAGCGTAACCACTTTCTGATTCAGTGTGATTACCATTGATTAGTCATCGCAGCGCATGCCTTTTTTATGTCACCTATCTGTAACTCTGTAACAAACACTGGAATGTTACACCCATTTGGTGATAACACGATCTGGAAGAGAGTTATTTGAGTTAGAGCAAAAAATGACAAGGAATTCCAATGAAAGTTGATAAGGGGTACCAGCGACGGGATGTCTGCTAGCTTATGAGGAAGGGCCTAAACTTCCTGCAGGTGATTGAACGCCACGGATCCAACTGTACTTGTGAACGAAGCACAAATCAGTGCAGCTGAAAAATCACCCTGAAGCTCAAAGCTCAAACTTGAAAATTTGAGGCCCAGAAATTGCCGCAGTGATTTTTAGTTCCTCTTCATCTCTTTTCGGTGCTTGTCAGCTCTCTATAGATTTTTCAGAGAAGAACGTAAAGCACTTGAGTTTTGAAAGAGACTGTTTTTGAGCTCTGTTTAGTAAAACATTCAGGTCATTGAAGGCCTCAAAATAGCTATGAAATGTACGCTACGTATCCCGTCTGTGCTTCAGATGTAGAACGCAGACACGCCCCTTGTCTCCGGGATATGAAATTTGAGTGAACTAGTTTAATGTTCAGATACGACGATTCGTTTCCGGTGATTACACTGAAGTCTATGACCCAACGATTGAGGACCGACACAAGAAGACGTTGATGTACAACGGCAAGCCAGCGCATCTAGAAATACTCGACACATCGGGAAAGGTACGATAAGATTCCCTTAGTTCCAAGTTTAAGTCTAGGAATGCTGAACCAACTATTTCGTTAGATCTCTGCCAGATACAGATACAAGTGCTCAATCATTCTCGATGCGAGGCACATTTGTAGCAAATCGCCATTGCACTTTCCTCCGTCGGACCGCGATTGCAAGTCGTGGATAAAAGGGTTGAATATGAATTGTACACATATATTATCACTAGATGATTAAGCAAAGTACTCCGGGCGAGTATGAGGTGACCAGAGAGACGCAGAGACACTCAGCGTGCAGCTCGAAGATCAGAGATGCGAGGGCTGACGAGCACACCGTGGCATAAGTAATGAAGGCGTTTATACCGCGATGGGTTGCCGAGGCCAAAACCTGAGAGAGACGCGATCGGAGCTTGCGTCACAAGGCCTGCCGTGTTTTTTACTAAGTGACTTTGAATTAGAACCTCGCATTATGACATGCCTTTTTAGGGCATAATGGCCCGCGAAAACATATCTGTAACTCAGCTGTCCATAGGGAAAAGTAATACGCACAAACACAATTTGTAGAAGTTCGCGTCATCAAACATTTGTAAGGTAGCGGGTGTCAAGCGCAATGTTGCTGCAAGTGACTCCGTGTTAGCAACGCCAGTCGCTACGCACCCGCTTTCGCATGGATGTCGCATCTTCCGTTTTACCTCTTTGCAATCTCTCTCGGTCTCCGCGTGCCTTTGTTCTCTCTCGCGAAAACCACATATATCTTTAGAACAAAACGAGGGCCATATCTTGCAGCGCTTCGATGCTTTTTTTTCTTCCAGCAAGTCCAGTTGCACAACAGCTTGTATCCTTCAAACCGCTTACTTACAAACTCTCAAGCCGGCTCATTCACACGAATTCTGCCCTCCGATCTCACTGATCAATTCCTCGAATGGCCAACTAGAATGCGAGCCAGCAGTACTGCATGTACGTTCAGCCCAATAAGGTGCTCCAGGTTCCAGTGGACAGAGGGAAATCCACCGCCCACTCGCCGAGGCCCAGTTTGGGTGGTCGGGGTTCAGAAGTAGTGAGGATAGAACCATTTAAGTAGCGCGATGAGTGCGAGGGGTCCGGTAACTGAGATTTGTGAGAAATCGGAAATCTTCATGGCCAAAAATTGAATGCATTGCAAGGAGCACCATGAGATCCGAATGTGAGCGATTTCCCAACCATAGATAGATTTCATCGAATTAATTCCAGAGGGAGTATCGTCATCCATTTTAAGCTCCTAGTAACCTACTCATTTCACGACATCGCCGAATGTATCCACAATTAAGTCATGACCCCCTTAAGGCTCTATCCATGAATCCCCGAGAAGGAGACACAAGTTGCGTCTTCCTGCCTGGCTTAAAGACTCGGCATCGCGCAGCTCAGGACATCAGGGTCGTAAAGACTGTAAAGAGCAGCAACGGGGCCATTCTCAGGAAACCAGCCGAAGTCAGGAAGAGGTGGGAAGAATACTTCGAGGGACTTCTGAACGAAGAATTCCCTCGCAAGGATAGCCCACAGATAGAGGCGACGGCAGGTCCCATCACTCCCTGGACGAAGGATGAAGTTCGCCGGGAGCTAGGGAGAATGAAAGCTGGGAAAGCAGTGGGTCCAGATGGGGTACGCGATAGCATGGCATGGAAGCGCCCTCCGGAGAGAGCATGGGGGGTGAGTTGGCTCACGCACTTCCTAAACAACGTAACAGCTGAAGGAAGGATGCCGAATGCGTGGAGGAGCAGCACAATCGTTCCCATCTTTCAAACAGAAACGGCGCGAACGCGACGGACTGCTCCAACTACCGCGCATTCAGCTGACTCACCCCATACCATTGAAGCTGTACGAGCGGCCTGCGTCAACACGAAGCGCTCAAGGGAACTTCCGTCTCGATCCGCAGGGAACAGTTCGGCTTCATGCCCGAGAGGTCCACCACCGATGCCATCTTCATCGCCAGACAGCTGATGGAGAAGTACCGAGAGAAGCGGCGACCCTGCTACCTAGCCTTCCTGGACCTTGAGAAGGCATTCGACCGCCTGCCAAGGCCTGTACTCTGGAGAGCGCTCAGAGAACGTAACGTTCCGGAACACCTCATCTCCATAGTGAAGGACATGTACGATGGGGCTAAAGCAGCTGTACGCACCCCTCACGGCTTTGACTCAAAAGGAGTAAACATTACGGTTGGCGGGTGAGTACACCAAGGGTCAGCCCTCAGCCCGTTCCTCTTCCTCCTGACTCTAGATGTCATGGCAAAAGAACTCATGGAGGGACCACTGAAAACCATCCTCTATGCTGACGACATCGCCCTGATAGCGGACAGCAGGGAGGAACTTCAGGACAAAGTGCAGCGGTGGCAGGATGTGCTCGCTGCGAATGGACTCCGGCTGAACGTAAAGAAGACCAAGTTCCTAAGCTCCGAAGAGTGCGCCGAAGTCATCGTAGATCGCCATGGCGAGAGCATCGAAAGGGTCGAGGATTTCCAGTACCTGGGGAGCAACCTAGCAGCTGATGGCAGCGTGGACCAGGCGGTGACGGCCCGAATCAACGCAGCCTGGATGAAATGGAGGGAGTCCACTGGCATCCTGTGCGACCGGCGGTGCTCGAGAACACTCAAGGGCAAGGTGTACCGGGCTGTGGTAAGGCCTACAATGCTCTACGGCAGTGAGTGCTGGCACTAATCTGCAAAGAACCATGAAAGGCAGCTCCACTCAGCTGAAATGAGGATGCTGAGATGGGCCTGCGGCTGGACACGACTCGACAGAGTCAGAAACGAGGACGTCAGAGCAGTCACACAGACGGCTCCTATCCAGCTGAAGGCACGAGAGCAGCGACTGCGATGGTACGGTCATGTACTGAGGAGGCCTGAAGACCACCCAATAAGGAAGGCATTGGAACTCGAAATAGAAATACGAAGGGGGGCCAAAAGGGCGGGCAACCGACCACGAGGAGCCCCGAAGAAAAGGTGGAGGGACGTCATCAAGAGGGACCTCACTGAAGTGAAAGCCACAGCAGAAGATGCAGTGGATCGGAACAAGTGGCGACGTCTAACAAGATCAGCGGACCCTGCGACGGCGCGGGACTAACGCTAGGGAGAAGAAGAAGAAAGAAGAGTAACCTTAGCTCAATTCACGACATCGCCGAATGTATCCACAATTAAGTCATGACCCCCCTTAAGGCTCTATCCACGAATCCTCGTGACGCGCTATAGACTAGCATTTACTAACACATACATAAATCAAGGCCGAGCTGTGATGGCGCGATCTATCTGATAGGTTAACGTCTACATAGGTACCCATCTAGAATCGTCTCTTGAAAAACGTTCCGTGATAAACTAAGGTTATAGCCTCTCACAAGTGGTGTCTCCAGCATACAATTGTAAAAGCTGTTGCTACCGCATAGTAAAAATGTGCAAGAAATGCCAGTGCAGACGTGAACGATTTGGTCCATGAGCACCCCTGGCTCAAGGTCATGCCAAACCCCTGTTTAGCTTTAGTAGGCCATCTACTAGAGTGTAGTTCACTGCGGACGAGAGAGGGCGTGTCAGAGGGGATGTAACTCGGTGCGGTGCCAAGCCTGTTGTTCTTATCACTGCACTCGTTTCCTCTCAATTTTTGCAGCATATCCGCTCAGGGTACAGCATCGCTGTGCAAAATCCATAGGGGGGATGTCGTTGGCCGCTGGGGAGGGGGGGGGAGGGATCGTAACGGCAATGGTCAGCCAGTACGGACAATGCTATGACATATTCAGTTGATGGTGGAATAAAAGCTATGGAAGCCAAAGAATCAATAAAAAAAAATGAAAATTATTATGAGTGTATTCTTTACAGATTGAACTGCTACGTTTAACAGCCCTCTTTTCATGCAAATCCCCAAAATGGGTTCGTACTTGGCCGGGGGTATCGCAAAAAGTAGAACTCGCTAGTGCATCAAACAGTACAAAAGTGTCCTTTGGCTAAGTTGATGGAAGGAACGGAAATGCTGCATAGACGCGATGTAAATAAGACGCACAATACTACAACAAAAAAATTTATTGGGCAAACACAGCAAGAATATTAAGAATAAATAAATAAAAAATAAATAAATAAATATCAGTTAATAGCATGAACTCGTAAGTACGTAGATGACTTAAAGAACTCGTAAGTACGTAGATGACTAAATAATACGTCTCAAACAGATTCGTGCGTATTGTCCTTTCCAAACCCTAAACAAACATCTGCTTGCATGGATAAAAGCACCTCAAATTAGAATTTATACCTTTCCATCACCTCTGCGTAGGAGAGTAATGCACGGCGCACGCTCGGACCAAATCGATCAGTGATAGCCGAGCTCCTCTTTCACTCATTTGAAGGGAAATATGTGTTTTGGAGTTCTTCGAGCGTGTATTCTCACAATGGCACAGAAGGAGTCGATTTTTCGGGTGGGTCAGAGGGTAGCGCGTCTGTGACCCATCTAAAATATCTCCTGAACTAGTGGGTCTTCAGAAAAACTGTAAAGCTTATTGGAAAGAGAAAAGATGGAGGGGTTTCAGGACGATTTTAATCCTGATGAAAATACGTTTGAACGAAGCAATCCTCGCGTGAACCTTGAAACTTAGCTCGCGGATTTACCCCTAGCCTATCCAAGAACCATCCTGAATATCACCAAGGGGGGGATTGTCAGGCTTGAACAACTAGGTAGAAATACCAACAGTAAGAAACTTTCGTTGCATGCTGCTCACTTTTGGGCCATTCCTCAAAGCTCCGCACCTAAAAAGAGAATAATAATTCCTGAAAAAGACCCCAGACACGCTGAACTTTCGAGTTCTGCGCTTAAGAACGCTCCTGCAGCGAAAGCGGTCGCAGCCTTGCGATCGATAATAGCCAAGTATAGAACGATTTACTGCCGCCTGGTTATCTTTTTTTCATTTGGCTCCGCATTTTTTTGCATTTTTCATGTTTCGCTTTGTTGTGTCGTTCATGTTTTCATGATTTCCCCGTCACCATTCATTGAATGCACATCTGGGGCCTGCTGGGG